TCTTCAGCCTTTAGCACATGTTTCCAGAATGTAATAGGGACTTGCTATTGACTCAGATACTATACTAAAATATGATTAAATTGAGGAGAACAGCTTTTTTTAGGTGAGGTGCAATAGACAACCCAAATTCTTTTCTTTTCCTTCCAATTTGGCTTTATAAAAATTATCGGTGCCTAGACTGTGAGATTTGCAGATCCTTGCACTATTGGCCCAAAGCAATTGATAGAAAGCCCAAGGTCTTCCAAAAGAGCAGCAAAAGCAGCAAAAGAGCTGGCTCTTTATCAACTTCCTGCTGCATGGAGAAGGGGCAGAGAATAAAGCCTTTCTTCAGTAAGAGACATTATAGTGCTACATAGGTTAAGTCTTCCTCTGCCCTTGAGTGCAAGCATCCAAACTTCCCCTCTCCTCAAATGCCTGTAGAAAGCTGGAGAGGACAAGGCACCATGAGACAGGTCTCGGAGATGCAGAAGGGGAGGGATTGCAGGGTGGTCCTTACCCAAGGACCTCCCCAAGCGGGGCTCAAGTGACCACCGAGCAAGTCTGTGTCCTGCCTAGATATCTTCTGCTGCCAGCTAAGGTGCCTGCTCAAACAGTCCTCGTGTTTCAGAGTCTCAGGCTTGCCATCCACCATGTAGCCTAATGCCGCTTCTCTTGGCAGTGAGATGGGCTTGATAAGTATTGCATCTGGGGTGTGAGGAGGCAAAGTCAACTTCCATGAACCCTGGTCCTTCAGACGATGGGATTTTAAAAACAACCAGTGCTTCGTTCAAACAGCCATGATCTGCTGAATCTCTAGGGCTAAACACTTGTGAGGGGATGGAGTGGAGATAAGGAGCTCTAGTGGAAGGTCTTTGATTCAGGAACTGGCATTCCCTCTCTATTAGTTCTTGCAGCACAGACTGTCTCACCTTCAAAACATACTCAAGCACTTTCTCTCTCTTTTTCTTTCTTTTTTTTTTTTTCCCCAGCTTTTTTGGCAGTGGTAATTGGCTAGATTTTAAAGGTTCTTCTCTGGTGGGGGTGTTATTGATCTTATTACGCAGTTGAACTTCCTTGTTAATAATGGTTTACAATGCTTAGGTCTCCAGATGGGCCCGTGATAAGCAGAAACAAATAACTGAGGTTGCAAGTATATGCATACATATAGAGTATCCCATGTTTTGTATGAAGACCTACATATTCTACTCAGTCAAAATACTGGACAAAAAGATTGGAGAGTAGTTTACTTAAAATCAGCATGTGCACTGGAGCTTTCCTTTTCAGAATCCATGCTTTTCTTAATTGGTTGCATTATTTTTAGTACAATGGTGAAGTGCCTCTTTTTCTTTCCCACTAGATATCCCTGCTCTTTTCTCTTTTCCTTTAGCAAGACAAACTATAAACCTGTAGGGGAACTCCAATGATAAAGAAACTCAGATACTGAGTCTCAAAATGTATTTTTCCAGAAATCTCTTCTTTCTGCTCTATTTGTTATGATGGTAATAGAAACTACTTCTGGAGTTCGAAGCTGGGCCTTTTGTGCCTTGGCATAACTGGGATATCCTTTTCAGTTGCCCCATTTGCTTAGACTGTGAATCTGTCCTCTATCCTGTTCAGAAATGATGAAAAGACTATTTGAGCTGTTTCTAAGCAGCACAAACTTCATCTTCTCTTCTTTGCTCTATAAGGAAGATAACCAAGAATGAGGGGTGGAATAACACAGGGAGTATGAAGTCCTTGGTAAGACTGGACAGGCATTCTGTAGGACTGGACTCTTTATTTCCTGAAGAATCCTTAGCTGTGCACACACTGAGATCAGCAGCAAGGCAGTCAGTTTGCAGTAAGATAAGACTGAAATTTCAGTGCGCAAATGGAAACCCTCACTACTTGCTCAGTATGTTTTAAATAAGAGGTGATCTGCTTTGCTTTCAAGGCAAAATAATTTACTTTGCAGGAAGAAATCCTCAGCGCATGCTAACAGCATCTGCACACAGAGCTAGTATGGAAGACTAACTTCCTGCTGTGTAAATAAGACTTGCATCTCCAATCTTGTCCACAAACCCTTCCCTTTGAAAAGCAAGCCTATAAGGAAGCCCATGTGTGTTAACTTTACAAAGTTTCTTGTATACTTTCTTCAGGTTTTATTGAATCTATATTATATGGCACTATATAGATTATATGGCATTGATATGATCTTAGAGAAGTTGGGTAAATGCCTAATTCCTTACTGGCTTGATTTTGTGCAATCATCGACATCTCTATCAGGACAGCACCACTTACGGTTTCTCCACTTTCCTAGAGCGGGGTTAGGGTTTTGCAACCCCTCATACTCTTTGCACAAGAGTATATGAGTCAACAGAGTACAAAGCAGTAGAAAATCAGCCTTCCTTTTTTTGCTGCTGTGAGAAAGAGGAAGTTGGCTGTCCAATTCCCAATTAATTTCCCCACTATAAATTTGGACTCCCCGACTGCTATTAGCTTTTTAAAACAACAATATTCACAACCTCTCCAAATGGTCTAAACGCTTTTTTAGCATTTAGGTGAATCCTGCTTAGGTGAAAACGTAACCACAAACAGGAGAGCATCTGTATAAAGAGAAGTAGGAATTTGTCGATACGTCGAGTGAACCAAGGCTTGCGCAGGGAGAAAAGGTGGTGCGGAAAGGCAGTTTTATGGCTACGTGCATTCTGTGCATACACGCGCAGGTTTTGCATAAAGAGACAAAGATATCTTTATCCGCCCGACAGATAGACAAACAGACTGACTGACTTCAAACTTGCACTTTCAGTACAGATTTTTTTTTCCCCCCATCTCCGGGTACTGCTTTTCAGAATTGCCTGAGGCTACAGTACAGCACCTCAGATCCCCAAGGCCCATCGCCTGGCTCCTAATAGCCACTCTCCATCTGTGTCACATGAACAGCTGATGAGATAGCTCCAGTGTCTGTGTTTTGGAGAGCATATCCACCCAGGTTAAAATGCTGGGGTTGCCAAGGAGCAGTCAGAAGCCATTAGTGTTTGTGAGAATTTGCCTTGCAGCAGTTCCTTGGCATAGTGGAAAGTGTGTGTGTGTGTGTGCGCGTGTGCGCGCGTGTGCGAGAGCCATGGGGTGGAGTATGGGGGGGAGGGGGTGACGCAGAGGAGCTCTCTAAATAAGCAGCATCTCACAAAAGTGAACAGTTGGTTGCAGGATATAGGGCTACTGCGAGCTCTTCGATTAGTTTGCTGCGATTTGACTCCCTGTCTTTAACGGAAACAAGCAAAAAGAAAAGACCAAAAAAAAAAAAAAAAGGAGGAATAAAAGGCATGAGAAGGAGAGAGCAGTGACTTAAGGGTCTTGCTCTGGTGTTTGGGCAGATGGAAAGGAGCTGTTCTGCCTTGGGGCAGGGTGGTTGTAATGAAGTGGCCTGTCAGTCTGTAAATAGTGAGGGTCATCTCTTCCATGTGATGGAGGGTATCACATTGCAGTGAAAATGGAAATGTCAATAAAATTAATCTGCCAGCTCTTTGCTGTGGCTTTTTCTAGCTCTCTGGTCCATGCGGGTTGTTTTTTGCAGAGGGGAGGCAGTGCAAGAGGGGTGATCTGCCACAGCAGGGGCAGGTAGAGCTGAAATGCAAGTTTGGAAGCAAATGGGCTGCACATAGCAGCAACGTGTTTGGTTTAGTAGCACTACGGAGCTACACAAGGCTATAGGAATTAGCTTGTGGATCTATAGCATTCCTCAGGAAGCTATGGAGCGTCTAGCTCAGGCTACATTGAGCACAGAGTTTATTGTTTTAGGCTTTCTTGGACAAGGTTTTTACTTAGCATGGGATTTATGGCATTTACTGCTAATGAATGTCTATTCTTAAATTACAAAAACCACCGTCTCAGCACAATTCCCAGATGTCCTTCCAGGACCTCGGCTTCTTAAACACCAGCAGGGAGCATAAACTCTCCACTTCTCTGTTTTCCTCTTTCGTGTGGCTCCGGGCTAATGATGTGTAAGGAAAACACAGCAATCTATAAAGTCTCAGTGCTGTCCCAGTATTCTTCATTTATTTTGCATTTGATTATGCCACAAGTCGGATCTTGTTTCTTTCCTTTTTTTAAAGTTATTAGTTCAAATATTAATGTAGGAATATGGCATATATTGCTGCTCTTGATTGATGCCTTCCCAAAAACAGGAAGACGTGCTCGTATGAATTTTAAGAAAGTAGGGGTCCTGCAATGCCTTGCCAGAAGAGTTTTTCAGATACATAATTTAGATGCCCTCCAGGCAGGCTTTCAAGGCATTTTTGCTGGAGGGCAAGAAAAAATAACTATGACTGTTAAAAGTAAATGATTTTTGCTAATGCACAATTAATGCCAGGGAAAAGCACAGAAGAGAAAGATGTTGATGGAAAGTTCTGATTAAGTGAGAGCTCTACCTTGATGTGCATCTTTCTTTTTTAATGATAATAATCACTGATGCAGAGATGTGGAAGTTTTTATGTCATGCAAATGCTGTGCGCAGGGTCACACTAGGTGTACGTGTTTGTGCGTGTGTGTGTCGGGAGGTGGTAGTTGTGGGGAGGGCCTCCTCTGACAGTGTGTTATGTGCACTCAAGAGCAACACAGTTACTGCCACCTATGCAGAGGGCCTGGAATGCATAGACTACAGAACACCTGATTACTTACACTGTGTATTCAGAAGGGTTGTAGGGATGCGTTTACAGACAATGGGTATTCCTGTGGCAGGTTTTCCCACACTGAATCCCATAATTGACAAAGAGCTATTGCATGATGTCGAGAACACAATTATAATTGAATTAATGATATATGCACACGCGAGACACAAAATTAGTATTTGGAGAGACATGGCTGCTAATTTTTACATATCCGTAACAGCATTTGTATTTAATGGGAAACTGTATGTGCCTGATATTCTATCATCTAATCAAAATAAAGCTGCAGTAGTATCTTAGAAATTATTGCTACTTTTGGCTGCTATATTTTGTTTATTATATGTCCCCTTCCTCCTGTTTTTCTCTTCACTATAGGAGATGGTTTAGACAACAGTGTAGCCTCACCTGGTACAGGGGATGATGATGACCCAGACAAGGACAAAAAACGACAGAAGAAAAGAGGCATTTTCCCCAAAGTAGCAACAAATATCATGAGAGCGTGGCTTTTCCAGCATCTCACAGTAAGTGGTGCCCAAAAACAAAATAGATTTCTATTCATGTGCCTAATGAGGTTTATTCGTTGTTACTAGAAATCAATTGCCCCCATAATTTTCTGGAGGATTATTAAGGCTCAATTATCACTTGCTTTTTTTTCTCTATTTTTTTTTCTCCTGGCTCTTGGAATCATGACAAATCTGAAAAAAAAAAACCCAACTAAAAAACCCATATATATAGAGAGAGGGGGGAAGAGAGAGTACAAGGTCTTATCACGGAACAACACCTACAGATAAAGTAACCATTTTTTGCCATGAACTATTCAAAATGTTCCTAAAGATAAAAGGAGGCTTTCTTGCTTTCGCATATATAAAACTCTGCCTTCTGGATGATTTATTGTTGGCCTCTGTTTACACAAATCTCATATGTATTCGGCAGAAGAGAGAACCCCAATCTGTGTATTCTGACATATACTGTGGGATGCAAGAGAAGTCAAAGCAGCAGCTTGCAAACTTGTCATATGTTACTTTTGGTGTGAAACATAGAAGGCTTACAGGTTTCCTAATTCTTCAGTTGAGTAACAGAGAAAATAAGCACCTTTTAGTTACTCTGCAAGTCCATTATCTTAAAAGCTAGCCATACTCACATTTGGGGGAGAGAGATTAAATATGTGTAAAAGCAGTGCTTTTACTAAGAGTCTATCCTCCTCCTGTTTGCTATTGGTTTTATGTGTTGGTGTTCTGTTGACTGTTACAGCTTCACTTAGGCATCAAAATACCGTTCTACAGAAAAACTAGTAATGCTCTGTAGTTCACTTCATGCAGGAAATAATGGAAACTGGTAAAGTTTTCAGCTCATTTTCCTCTTCTGCTCATTGTGAAGTTGTTTCTCACTTAATCAAGCTTAAAATGGTAATAGTGCTTTTAACTACCTCTTCTTCTGCCAAAGTTTTACACATTTCCAAGGTAGCTGATGTTAGTTACAGTGCCACGACTTGAGGACAAGGTACCCGTTTTATTTATGGTGGGGACTATCGAGCTGGCTCCGCTAGCAGCACAGCTAAAGCGGGGAGCAATAGATCCGCATTTCTAAACCATCATTTTGATGTAGGGACATTAGTAGCAAACTAAGGTGCATTGATCTGGCCTGTGGGGTCAGGATTAGCTGGAATAGCCAGTGTCTCTGCTGGAGTAGTGGTTATTCTTGCCTCCCAGCTATGGCCATTTCAAAGGTCAGGTGCCCTGTACCCACTTGGCTCAGAGGAATTAGACAGAACATGAGTCTCTGGGCTGATTACTTAACCAAAGACAAAATAATGAGTCCTAAGCAAATACTGACTAATTGAAAGGGCTGTAAATCCATTACATATTGGTCAGGGATAATCAGGAGTATTTAATCACTTTTATCTATTCAGGAGCACTGAAGCTGCAACAGCAAAGCCCTGAACCTTGCCATGTGCTTATTATTCTCATCATTATCAAAATTACTTCACAGCTGTTCTTTGCTACATCACCTCAGCTGGAGATTTACTAACCTGTAAAATGTTTTTAATTTGGAAGTCGAGTGAGTGAGAGTGGAGGGTTTTTCATTTAGCTGTAGGGTATCTTTAGAGGAGCAGTACAGGCAGGGAGGCAGCAAAAAAGCAGGCCCACAAATAAGCCAGCTTCTTTTGTACATGTCTCTGTTAACTCTGTTTCCTTTCATGAAGTTTGTGATATCTTGGTTTTTCTCCCTGTCTTTCTTTCTTGTGTGCTCCTTGAAAGCATTCAACACATGCTTATTAAACAGTCAACTGCCTCTCACTTCTCTTGAGGAAAATCCTCCTGGCTTTTTGAAATCCCTTTTCCTTGTTTCTATCCCTTCCCTTCTGACCCTCTCCATTCTACTTGAATTGAGGAAATTTGCCATCTCTGGAGAGGATGGCCTTGCAAAAATCAAATTAAATGAGCACCAAAAAGCCCCCAACCTTTTACCTTCCAAGCTTTAATGAGTTTGCAGGTGTTGAAAGATTTACTGTGCTGTAATTCTCAGACCTGAAAACTGATAATGGAGACCCCTGACCAGTGCAATGTAAATTCAGAAAGATCCTTGCCATAAACACATGCAGAGAAGGAAGAGAACTCATTTCTTTCACAGATCTCACACTTTTTCTCAAATTAGCTTGTCCATTCAAAGTACAACACTGGCTGAGCCAGAACGAGGGAATCTGTGATCTGCAATTTTATTGTTTCAAGTAAATATCTTTACAATGGCAGTCCATGATTCAATGTACATTCCTTCATTACTACTCTAACCTTATTTCAGATTGCTTTGTTCCTCCTTTGTGCTGTATGACCTGTTCTTGTATTACAATAATCCCCCGATGTACCCTTTTTTTTTCTCTCTTTTTTTTTTAAAGAAACTAATTGAATTATCTCATTATTTTAATTTGTTAAGCAAATGTATTTTACGTCTCAGGATGTGTTCTTAAAGAAGGAGCTGCTTAGGCTTTGCCCCCTGAATGGGCCATTGGTACATTTTGACATTCATGCATTCATTAAGGAAAGGAACATAAAAGAGCTCTGGTTGTATTTTTTTTTCAAACACCCAACCAGCATGGAGCAACTTTTCCATAAGCCACAGGGGTCTCTCTACATATGTTCTCAACTGCAAGCCATTGTCACCTATTCTGAATACCTCAAAAGGACAAATAAAATACTAAAGGCCAACTGTAGCAATTGTTAGCTGTTAGTCTCAATATGACAAAAATCATTAACCTCTGGTTTTCCTGGAAGAAGCAGCAGTGGCAGTTCATCTCTTTCAGTGTTGATTAAGCCCAAAATTCCTTTAGACTGTCAGATTTAAGGAGAATAATTCAGTTCAGCCTAAATATATTTATTTACGATTTTAAATGAAATACTACTTTAGAACTCACTATGCAGTCATTTTACAAATTCTTACGTAACTGATTTGAAAACTGGTTTTTGCTTGAGGTTTTTTATTTTTGGAGGGACAGGTGCTTGAACTCTGATGCAGAGTTAATATTTGATGGGCTGTGTCATTTCTGTTCCCTATCACCTCTTCTATTTTGCAGTATCTCTAATTCTATTAGACAAAAAATATGCATGCATTTTTTTTTTGTTGCTGGAAATCAAATGCAAGGAGTAAGAGCTTCTGTCATGTTCTTGTTCAGTTATTGAGCTCTGTCTTATATTTCGAATTACAATCGTACCGGAAAAAGAAAGATCTGAGGATGAATTGGTTGGCAACGTGTATGCTTTTTCTGGATAATGTCCAGTGTTTAAGAAAGTAGAGGAAATCCTAGTCTGGTAGAATAAGCTTTTCAATAGTACATAAAGATTATGACATCAGAAAGGTAAACCTGACATTAAAGCTGGTTTCTTTTTTGAGTTCAAAGGTGGTTAAAGAAAAGAAACAGCAAGAAATGCGAGCCAAGACGAGAGTTTATTCATAGCTTTGGAAGACTCCTTTTCCTCCATGCCAAGGAGTCCTTAGTACACTCAATTAGCCTCTCAGGCATCTCTGCTTTCCTCTCTCAAGTGCTCCCCTATTTGCCCTGCAAAGACCGTATTTGATCACGAAATGAAAACAGGAAGCGCTCAGATGTATAGACACCTCCAGCTTGCACTGCCGTTGAGATTAGGGTTTCTTACTTGCAACTCTGCAGAGCCTGGTGCCTCCACACTCCCCCACCTCTGTGCCCTTTCGAAGGGGAGAGGACCTTTAAAAATACGTGTACATAACCAGAAGAGAACAGAGTCATAAAGGAAGTAATTATACCAGTCTATGGACTTGTACCTCTGGTAGTTCAGCCCTTTCGGCAGCGCAGTGAAAGGAGAACTACACTTTTGACATTTCTCCCTTTCTTTTACGGAACAGGTAGAACACAGATGCATTTATTTTGTGACACTTACCTGGAGGGATAACCTTTGTTAAAATTCTGTATTGGTTGTTTCTTTTATCGCAGTCTCTAGGAAGATGTATATTTTAACTAAAAGAAGCAGAAATACCAATGGTAGCATGCAACCTAAACATTTTATAGGTCTGTGCCAGATTCTCAGCTCATGGTATTCAGCATAGCTCTCCTGAAGCCAGTGGAGCTGAGCTACATTTTTGCTAGTTAAAGTTCTGTCTCCCAAAATTTATTTAGGCTGTATAATTTTAGCTTGATTTCCACAATCTCGTGGCTAAAAATGCTGCTGTTTACACAACCTTGTAGAGTGGATTTGGGTTTCATCTACCTCAGTGTCAAACTAGAACAAGTTCTGAAGTGTTAAAACGACTTAATCACAGTTTTTGTACTTTCCTGAACAAATCTTCCTAACTTGCAGTATTCAGCTGGACAGACTGGATAATATGAATAATCTTACCAAAACAGATCTGTGTTTTTTTTCTTTTTTATTTTTTCCCCCTAGATTTATGTGGGTGTATCTGATAGTATAATGCATCTGTATCATTCATTTTTTAATGAATGGCTCACCAAGCCTTTTATACAGGCAGCTATTGTACCTATTCATTAGCCTTAATTTGGAGAGATGAAAGTCTGTGACCAAAGCCAATGCTGGCATTTTTGGGGCAAACTTGCAAGACAGCTGAAACTATCCCACACTTGTAAATGTCTCCTCCCCATCCTGATTTTGGGATTAATACCGAAGGGAGGGCTAGTTCCCCAAGCTAATGCTGCTGCACTCCAGGCTGAACGACTTCCTTTTATATGAAGCAGCAGAGGAGCAACTTTCCCCAGAGCTCTGCTTCACGAGGAACATTCCTCTGTAGCTCTTTTTTTGCTGCACTGGAAAGAAAACAAAAGCCCAAAATTCAAGTTCAGCTAAGATGGTGTCACGGAGACTAGGAGGCACAAGGAAATAAAGGGATGTAGAGGTGTTCTGGTGGATTTTAGTGTTGGTGTAGGACCAAGTTGTAACGTGGTATGTGCTCCCAGAGTACATGGAGGAGATGGCTCATGTGGGGCAAACCTCCTGCACTGTGCACATATAACTGGGATCTACAAAAGGTAGTTGCATTT